CTTTCTATTCATCAAAGAATCCTGAAAAATAAAATGTATCACGGTTTCCACAAAAATATGAAGCAGCACAACTGTTTTCAACATTGATAATAATCAGAAATGTTTCTCGAGTTCAGAATGATTCTGATTTCGGATCATGTGACACTGAAGACTGGAGTAATGATGCTGAAAATGCAGCTTTGCATCACAGAAATAAATTACATTTTCAAATATATCTCAATAGAAAATAGTTAGTTTAAATTGTAAAAATATTTTACAGTTTTTACTGTATTTTTTATCAATTAAATGCAACCTTGGTGAACAGAAGAGACTTCTTTCATTGATGCATGTAATGCACGTGTGTTTTCTCTCACAGGCGGAGCTGAGTCTCAGACAGGAGCAGCAGGAGCGGCTGGTGGCCACAGCTGCCAACTGTGAGTCTGAGCAGCTCAAACGCTACGAGGAGTTAATGGAGCTCAAACAGAGACAGGAGTACCAGAGTATGAGAGACATGTTGGAGAAAGAGTATGGGATTTCTGAACTGTTCATTCTCATTTACAAGTTAAGATGATGTGCTGAATTCGTTGTTTAAGCAGTGTTTTGTGTTTAAAGGACACAGGAGAGTCTCGGCCGGCAGGAGAAGCTGCGAGAGGAACACAGACACAGAATGAAAGTGAGTCTGAATGGACCATTAGGATCTGATATTTCAGAAATCTTCCAGATTGAGTACAAGTTAAAGGTGCAGTAGGAGATCTTGGAAAATGCTAACTTTAGCCTGATAGCACTGAAAGCGAACGTCCCACCCTCCCTGCAATCGCCGTCCAAAGCCACGCCCCCTGAACGCACATACGCTCACAGACCAGAGACAACATTACTACAATAGGCCACATCAGTGGTTTCTAATTCCAGTCCTTCACACTTCTCTAGTAAGTTTCGTCTGTGTGAAGACGCTGCGCAGCGCAAATCCATGAATGAATGTTCCGAAGTGAAGTAAACTTCAACGGATTTCCCCTGCTCAACGAGTAGGGAGCAATGAACACTGTGTAGGGATCATATCGATCAGAACACAGTTCATGCACGTAACTCACTTCTAACGAGCTGGTTCTAAGGACTGGAATTGGGAACCGCTGGGGTACATCATGTGTCATTCACCGGTGAGAAAACATTAAAAGTACTACAATACCAGGAAGGAAGATCGGGTTGTTGATGTTTGTCTGCCATTCTCGCTCTGTCTGCACAGCCTGCGTGAACGCGCTGATGAGTATCCTGTCTGCGCAAACTGGGTGCGCAGAGGTATGCTAATACATACGTTGACAGGCAGGTAGGAAAGCATATTAAAACGCTCGGACCGAGCGTTTTGATTGGACGAACATTTCTTGGTCCTACGCCTTCCACAGAATATATAAATACAGATAGATACATTTAGACCACTTAACTTAATGATTGCTATCGGGATGTGAAGAGACTTTCAACCAGCATAACAAAAAATGTTTCTGAAGACAATCGCCTATTGCACCTTTAAGCTCTATCAACAGCATCTGTGACATAATGTCCATTAACACAGGAAATAATAAATAATTTGACTTGTTTAAATAAACAAGAAATGCTTTAAAACCGGTTCTGGATTCCAGAGAGTTTAAAAGCAGAAATGTGCTGGTTTTATTTTTGTTAAAGCAAAAATGTTTGTAATCAACTGTAAAAAAAAGAATGATCAAGAAGTCATGACAACATACAGTAAGTTTTTCCATTACCAACTCCTCAAAATAATGAATTTCATCTTCAGATTCATTCATTAAGTTATGAGATTCAAGTAGACAAGATTTTATAAAATGAGTTGAAATTAAATTTAACTTAAAGTAAATTGAATTGGTGGAAGTATATTTCCAGTGCAAAAATCTTGTCAGTAAAGATTATACTAAACTTTTTTAGGTAGCTAAAACTAAAACCATAATAAAAAAACATTTTGGTTAATTGAAATAAAATTTATGTTATCCGAAACAAAATATAAAAATATAATATATAGATATATATATAGTTTTTTAATATAAAATATAAAGAACTAACTTACAATTATTGTATTTCAGCGAGTTGCCAAAGCAAAATTTTTTATGTACAAAAAAACTGAAGAAAAAATTTTTTTAATAAAAACTGTACAGACGTATTTAAAAAATGACTAGAAATTTACAAAAGCACACAAAATTTTACTTGTTAATTACATTTAAAATGAAAATGGAATATATATGTATATATAAATATATTTATATTTATATATACAATATATTTATATATACATATATATTCCATTTTCATTTTGTGTATGTATTTTGTATTCATGTGTATACATATATATTAAAACTAATTCAATTTATCAATAAAAACTCTAATAGAATCTCATTGATACTAAAATAACACTGCTTAGAACAGACCTTTAATGTAGCTATAATCTACATATCAGTTTTCCCGGCAAGATCGACCCTTATATTTTACTGTACATTCATTTAATTTTGTCTGTGATCTCTGTAACATTTTACATCGGTTAGGTTTGTCTGCAGGTCAGACAGTAATACCACAAAAAAGCATGGCAATACCTGGAATACCAGACCTATGTTGGGTAAAAGCCTAGTTTTCTGTGTTGCAGATCCTGAACCTGCGTCTGCGTGAGGCGGAGCAGCAGCGTCTGCGGGAGGCGGAGCTTGAGCGTCAGCGGCAGGTGGAGGGCAGAGAGCGGCACAGAGCTATCAATGCCATACAGGAGGAAGTGCTGCAACTCAACCAGCTCCTACAGCCACGCCCCTCCACACTTACTGACCCCGCCCTTGACCACACCCCCTACATCACCCGCGGCAACCAGCTCTGCTCGCAGGTGTCAGAGGTGGTGCCGGCCTCTGCAGATGTGAGTCCACATCCACCGCATCTTACTATTATATATGGACTTTTGAAAGAAGGGTCTTCTGCTCACCAAGGCTACATTTATTTGATCAAATATACAGTAAAAACTGTGAAATATTATTACAGTTTAAACTAACTATTTTCTATTGAGATATATTTGAAAATGTAATTTATTCCTGTGATCAAAGCTGAATTTTCAGCATCATTACTCCAGTCTTCAGTGTCACATGATCCTTCAGAAATCATTCTAATATGCTGATTTGCTGCTCAACAAACATTTCTGATTATTATCAATGTTGAAAACCATTGTGCTGCTTCATATTTTTGCGGAAACTGTGATGCACTACCATTTTGGTAGAAAAGTTTGGGGTAAGTACGATAAAAAAAGAAATGAATACTTTTATTCATCAAGGATGTATTAAATTGATTAAAAGTGTCAGTAAAGACGTTTATAATGTTACAGAAGATTTCTCTTTCAAGTAAATGCTGTTCTTTTAAACTTTCTATTGATCAAAGAATCCTGAAAAATAAAATGTATCACAGTTTCCGCAAAAATATCGGGCAGCACAACTGTTTTCAACATTGATAATAATCAGAAATGTTTCTTGAGCAGCAAATCAGCATATTAGAATGATTTCTGAAGATCATGTGACACTGAAGACTGGAGTAATGATGCTGAAAATTCAGCTTTGATCACAGCAATAAATTACATTTTCAAATATATCTCAATAGAAAATAGTTAGTTTAAACTGTAATAATATTTCACATTTCTACTGTATTTTTGATCAAATAAATGCAGCCTTGGTGAGCAGAAGAGATTCTTGCAAAAACATTTTTAAAAAATGTATATATTCCAAACTTATGGCTGGCAGTGCATGTATATTTACTTGAATACATATACTTTATTATAATGATGCATGATAGGCTCCTGTAACTTAAATGCAATGTAAGTCGCTTTGGATAAAAGTATCTGCGAAATGCATAAATGTAAATCATAAATCATTTTGCAGGGTCAGTTTCCCAGCGTGGAGGATTTGACCGTGGCGGAGCGAGCGCTACAGGAAATGAGGTCACTGGTCAGAAACCTGCAGGACGAGGTGGCACAGGCTGCCGAGAGGAAGAGGAAGGAGCAGGAGGAAGAGGAGGGGAAGAAGAAGAGACATGAGGAGCTGAAAGCCCAGCAAGAGGAGCAAAAGAAAACTGCAGCACGGTCCGCTAAAGAGAAAGCCAAGAAAGAGGGTGAGGGGAGCAAGTGAACATGCATGAAGCAATGTGTAATGTAAATATCACTAATGAAATAAATATGACTTTTAATCTCATCTGCAGGTCTTCAGACAGGAGCAGATGAGAGCACTTTAAAATGGTACAACGCGCTGCAGGATGCGGCCAGTCAGTGCGCTCAGGCGTTTGATGAACTCAGCAAAGCTAAAGACACGCAGGTTAGATGCCTGTCAGCTCTGTGTAGCATTTATTGGATACTGTATCATATACTTGGATACTGGTGTTGTAGTCAATAATTATCTTGCCCTTATGTTGCAGACGAAAAAATTAAAAATGGAGCTGCAAAAGGCCGCAACCACACCTGTGAGCCAGATCGCAAACATCTCAGGTGAGACGAAAGTGCGAAAGACCAGCATAAAGTAATGATGAACTGAAATGATTTTTAACAGAAACACCAAAAGTGAAATTAACGTTTTAATTTTGTTGAAAAAACTTTCCGTCTGAACTGTTTTTTTTTTTATTTGTCTATGCACAAGTAATTTTAGTATTATTATTGATATACTATTATAGTTCTTATTAATATTTTTTTTATTTAGATTTTATTTTTATATTTCCTATTCTTTCATTTATTTTAGTTAGTTTAGTTTTAATACTTATGTTGCTGTTCTGTCATTTTTAGTGTGTTTTTTTTTGTCTGTAAAGTTTACATATGTAGTGTATATACATATTATATGTAGTTTTTATTTTTTTTAATTAATTTTAGTTTATTTAGTTCTAGTTATTTTTGTATTTCAAGTTAAACTAAACCAAAAATGAGAAATAAAATTAAAAACAAAATTAATTTTAAGTTTTAATTTGATTTTCATTTAACATTCATTTTATTTCAAGTAACGAAAATATTTTTATTTAAATATTTTTTATAATCAGTTAATTAATGAAATGTATTTAATGACTGACAGTTAAATAAAATGTTTTATACAAACATTTAGAAGATGTTTCTACTCTAATTCATTAGTATAATCTAAACATTTAAACAGTGGCTGTAATAAAAACTTGTTTTCATAACAGATTTATTCAAAAATACATTAAATAATGAGGACATCATTAACAGTGATGTAAAAATATAATAAATATGTTATATATTCCATATATTTAGCAAAATGCTCCTTTCTAGAGTTATTTTTGGCTAATTAACGAGCTTTGGATCTGATACGCCACATTAAAATGTGCTAAAATGGCATTTATTGTTTGAATTTTGTTATAAAATGTACGTAATTTGAACATTCAGACTTTTTCATATCAAAAGTAACAAAGCACAAGTTTGTTACAAATAATGTTTAGTGACATTTTGTTTACACATCAACTGAAAAAGGCATTGATATTGATTTAAGAATCGATGTCAGTTCACCAAAATGAAGATTCATTAAAATAGAAATTTCAGTGAATCACTAACATAAAGTTCACCTCATGCATGTAGGCGCGCCGCTGAAGGAGGCCTTTGAGAAGATCGATAAGCTGTTGTCCAGCCGTCCAGTGACGTCCGCTGGAAAGACGGTCTCTACGTCCCAGCATCCTCAAGGGCTGGAGTTTGTCAGTTATAAACTGGCAGAAAAGTTTGTGGTAAGGCAGATTTTTACATAAATAAACAAGGGGATTTTTGAAGGCAAATAAAGTTGATTTTAAAGGGGTCATCGGATGCCCATTTTCCACAAGTTGATATGATTCTTTAGGGCCTTAATGAAAAGTCTTTAACATACTTTGGTTAAGATTTCTCAATGGTAGTGTAAAACAACACCGTTTTTACCCTGTCAAAAACAGCTCTGTTCACAGCGACCCGTTTCGGTGCATGTCCCTTTAAATGCTAATGAGCTCTGCTGACCCCGCCCCTCTCTTCCGTGCCGTTCTCATGAGACTGTTTACATTAGTCGCGGAACTGGCTAACTACCACGTTATTAGGAAAGGCGATTTGCAAAGATTCATAAAAACCCTGTATACTCACTTCTGGAGGTGAGGCTGGATCACGAATGATTCGCGCGAACATCAACACATTTATGTAGATCGGGGGCGCATTCCCTTCAAAAACAAAGGTAATCCACTGCGTCTTCAGCGGCTCAGATGTCGGGAGTAAATGACGACTGCTATATTCATTATTACATCCAACAACAGAACACTTCAATCGCTAAGGAGTCATTCTTGTCTACATCTGCTCCAGCGGTGAAACAATGGAGGACTGATAACAGCTCACTCAGGGAGGGTCTGTGATAAAACACCAGTGTCAATCAACAATTGTGGGAGGAGCCTGGGTCTGTGTGACTTCATACAGCCAAGAAGCTGAGAACGGCTTGATTTGAGAAAGGGGTTATTATTTTGGGGGATTTAAAAAAAAAACACTGGGTGGATTTTTATCAGTATAGGGTGGTTGTGTACACACACTGCCAACACACATTTATGTTCAAACAACATGTAAAAGTGAATTTTGCATCCGATTGACTCATTCACAGAAACAAGGAGAAGAGGAGGTGGCGTCCAATCATTCGGCAGCGTTCCCCATCGCCGCTGTGGCGTCAGGCATTTGGGAACTGCATCCTAATATTGGAGAGCTTATACTCGCCCACCTCCACAAGAAGTGCCCATACGCTGTGCCGCACTATCCACCCATGGAGAGTGGCACGTCTGTGGAGGATTACCAGAAGTAAGTGTGTTGCTTTACTCTTCAGTCACTTGGCCAAAAGCGTTTTATGATAAAATTAAGGAGCCATTCTCACAGAATGTGTTTTTACGTTCTATCTGCACTGGTTTTTTTAGTCATTTGTCTGTGCACACAGGCACGTCTTAGTGTTATTTTAGTATCATTGATAGTATTTTGTTAATATTTTATACAGTTTCTGTTTTTAGTTTAACTTTAGTTTAGTTAGGTTTTAGTAATTTTGTGTTTTTAAAGGGGTCCTATTATGCTTTTTCACTTTTTCAACTTTAGTTAGTCTGTAATGTTGCTGTTTGAGCATAAAAAAGATCTGCAAAGTTACAAAGCTCAAAGTCCACTTCAAAAGGAGATATTTTATTTAACAGAAATCACTTTTCAAAAACTACAACGAACGACTCGTTTGGACTACAACGCATATTTTCATATATATACCGGCGAATGGGACGAGACCTGGTTGAGCTGGATCAAGACTTTGTAAAAGAGCATAATAGGACCCCTTTAATAATTTAGTTTTATTTAGTTTAAATATTTATTATTTAAATGTTTATTTAAATATTTTCCTATACATTGATTTTATTAATTTTTATTAATTCATTTTAGTTTGTTATTTTGGAATTTCAAGTTAAACTAAATGAAAAGTAACTTTCAAGCAACGAAAAATGTTTTTAGTTTTAATTGTACATGTAATATTTTTTTAGATATTTTCATAATTTTCATTCAAATTAACAATAAATTAATCATTAATCTAAATGCATACAGACAGTCCCTTTAAATTCCTAACTCACTTTTGACTGCAATGTAAATCAATTTTACGGAAATAAAGAAATGCCTGTAATTGTAGTTTCCTCCATTTATAAATGGCAATTCAAGAGATTCTAGATCAATGTTTGGTATTATTAATGTTATACTGTATATAGGAAATACAGATGGCTCTCCTTTTTCAAGAAAGATTTATTTTATGGCTTGAACAACATATCCAACATATTACTTTTGACTTTGCACTTTAAATGTCAAAGGAAACATGTTTACTGTGTGAACGGTGCAATAGCTACAGTTTTACTTTAAAGACCTTAAACTCTGCCTGCTTAAACATTTAAAGTTAACATTAATGTATGCAAATTCTTACTAAAAGGTTTTTTGTTTAAAAAGATCAGCATATTAATATGCAGTCTGTTGAATGTTATTAATCAAAAACCGCTAAGATAAATCGAATAAATTATTAACAACATGAATCATTTGCATCCCTAGTTGTAATAACCCTGCTGCCATAAGCACCATATTGCGTTTTTAAATACAAGAGCACCTTTTTTGCCAGCCAAACCTTGAGCGTTTCGCCTGATCAGAGTGTAAAGCATTATGAGTGTGTCTTTCCCATCAGGATTCTGGGATACCGTGTGGATGACTCCAAAGTGGAAGGACAGGACAGCTTTCTGAAGAGAATGTCGGGAATGATTCGTCTCTATGCGGCTATAATCCAGATGAGATGGCCTTATACCGGCAAACAAGGGGTGTGTGATATTCCTTTACTGCAACATGCATTAACATAGAGTTTAATCCTGATGCGAGAGGTGTATGTAAGAAGCTGAATATCTAACACAAGCGTGTGTCTTCATCAGCCTCATCCTCACGGCTTGAATCACGGCTGGCGCTGGCTGGCACAAATCCTCAACATGGAGCCGCTGGCTGACATCACAGCAACTATTCTCTTCGACTTCCTGGAGGTACAATCATCTTCCTTTTGCAAATGATTTGTTTTTTATTATTGCTCGCACTCAGTATTTGCTTCATGACCATGTATTTTTTGGCATGTCTATCTCTTTAGGTCTGTGGAAATGCCTTAATGAAACTATATCGAGGGCAGTTTTGGAAACTGATATTGCTTATTTATGAAGAATACTTCCCAAGGTATTAATACCCGTCCTTGTGAAGACATTTCCATAATTTATTGTAAATGTATTGTATTTATTGCCTTCAAAAAGCATCTAGAATTAGCCTCCAAATCTTCCTTTTGTCCTTCTGTTTGTTAGTTCTGTAGTGTAGATTCTAATGCCTTCTGATGCACTTTTTTTTTTTGCTGTTTTAAAGGAATAGTTCACCCAAAAATGATCATTTGCTGAAAATGTCTTTACCCTCAGGCCATCCAAGATTAGGATGAGTTTGTGTCTTCATCAGATTTGGAGAAATGTGGCATTGCATCACTTGCTCAGCAATGGATCCTCTGCAGTGAATGGGTGCCGTCAGAATGAGAGTCCAAACAGCTGATAAAAACATCACAATAATCCACAAGTAATCCACACCACTCCAGTCCATCAGTTAACATCTTGTGAAGCCAAAAGCTGTGTGTTTGTAAGAAACTAATCCCATCACTAAGACGTTTTTGACTTCAAAGATAAAATGCGAGTCCATAATAACACTTCCTTCGGTGAAAAAGTGGTCTGGTCTGAATCAGGAGAGAAATCCTCACAGATCAAGCACCGTTTACACGTAAAAGCAGTCCAAAACAGCATGATTATGGATTTTGGCCAGAACTGACGATTTAAAGTTACAAAACGTCTTAATGATGCATTTGTTTCTTACAAACATGCAGCTTTTAGCTTCACAAGATGTTAACTGATGGACTGGAGTGCTGTGCATTACTTGTGGATTAGGCTGGCCTGAGGTTGAGTAAGTTTTCAGCAAATGTTCATTTTTGGGTGAACTATTCTTTTATTATCAGTAGGGATGTAATGATTCACTCAAGTCACAATTCGATTCACGATTTTTTTTAATTTTGTTTTTACAAAATGAGATTTAAGGCAAATTATAAATTAAATGTGTCCTTTTATCTGTATATTGATGCAGATATTTATGATTTTACATGATTAAACCAAGTACACCAAGTGTATTTTTATTCTTTGTGTGTGTGTTTTTAAATCTAATGTACCAGAAATTGACTTTCTTTTGTTTTCACATTAGTACAGAACCACGAGATAAAGAGGAGTCTATTACAAACTTGGTATTATATTTTGTTATTTAAGGAAGTATTTAAAAAAAAGGTGATTTGCAGACTTTTAGAAATTAGCTGATCATTGACTTTATTCATTAATTATAACAAATATTTAGCTATTTTAGTGACAAACCAACTAATACCACAAAACATCACAGAATTCATCAGATCCATTTCAGCTCAGCTTATTACAAAATGAAATATAATTCAGAATATAAATTATGCAGGCAAATTATTACAGATTTAGGTATGATGAGAAATTGCATTAGAAGTTCAACACTTCATGACAAAAATGACAACATCCATTAAAAGCAACCAAACCAAATAAATCATTTCAAATGGACCTGATGTTCACTTAATTGTGACTACCTTTTAAAAAATAAGTTCAATATTTTATCCAGTATTTCAGGATATGACTGGGACATGCAGGGTTATCATAGTTAACTAAAACCTTTAAAAAAAATGTTGTTACTTGAAATTAAATAAATGTTAATAAAATTGTTTTATTTCAGCTAGTTTCCATTTCTCATTTTCATTTTGTTAAATTTAACATTTTGTTGTACTAAACTAAAACTGGAAAAAAAACTAAATATTTAAAAACAACAAGAGTTTCCATTGCAACATTTATAATTTTCATTTATTTGAACTGGATGTACTAAACTAAAACTGAAAAAAAAAAAATATATATATAAAGATATTTAAAAACAAAAACTAATAAAAATTACAAAAACACAAGACAATTACAAAAACTTTAACTAAAATTAACATGAACGCATAACATATTCAAAATATTAACAAAAACTATAATAGTATCTTATTCATACTAAAATAACACGGTCGCCTAAAAAGAAACGACCCAAAAATCTCACATATGTGACCCTGGAGCACAAAAGCAGTCTTAAGTCGCTGGGGTATATTTGTAGCAATAGCT